GCGTGTGTGCGTGTGTGCGTGTGTGCGTGTGTGCGTGTGTGCGTGTGTGTATGCGTGACGCGTGCGTGTGCCTGCGTGTGTGTGTATGCGTGCGTGCGCGCGTAGTTAAACACCCGCGTGTCTGTCATCCATCTTCGCAGACGGTCCTCGAGCAGGGCGGCTTGGCTCCGGGTGGACTCAACTTCGACTGTAAGGTGCGGCGGGAGTCGAGCGAGCTGGCGGACATGTTTGTAGCGCACGTGTGCGGCATGGACGCCTACGCGCGAGGTCTTCTCGCCGCTGCTCGCATCACAGAGGACGGCCTCCTCGATGCACTACGCCAGGTACGAGAGATTTGATTTTTTTCTCCCGCGAGATGTCGCGGCTATCGAAACGCGGCTTATTTTTGCGTGAAGTTGGAACGTGCGCGCGGTAGAGTGAAGTTTATGTGGCAGAGTTCAACATTCAAAGGTTTGTGTTGAAAAACGCGTCAGCTAGTCGACTTGTGAAAACCGGCTGTCAAACTTGAAACTTGACTCAAAGATTTACGTTCAGCAAGAAACCATTTCAATAAACAACTTTAATGTTTTAATAACCTACCAACAACGTATCCTAAGGCTGCTCTATAGTTTTATTCAACCTAATTAATTATCTATCAAATTAATTAGTTGATCAATTTGATTGACACACGCACAGGAGAGATACGCGAGTTACAAGACTGGCATTGGCGCTAGGATCAGCGATGGTGCTGCCACACTGGAGGAGTGTGAGAACTACATTATCAAGCAGGGGGAGCCACAGCAGCGGTCGGGCAGACAGGAGCATTACGAGGCCATATTGAACCGATACGTATGATGCGAGACAGTGAGAGAGCCCAGCACGTGCCCATAGCATCGCACTGAGGAGGCCGGTGGGGACGGGACCGCTTGTGAGTGAGGGAAATGGGGGAGGGGGTAGATCGTCTTGCTGAGAGCGGAAAGGGGCGTTTGGATTGAGACAGGGAAGCGGGTGATGTTGATAAAGGGAGCATGATAGAGGGTTTTATCGATTGGGGTAAGAAAGAGGTAGAGTGCCTGTGTGGACAGGAAAAGTTGTGTGAGTGGAGGTGTTAGAGGGAAGCGTATTGATGACCACGGGGTCGCTTGCTCCCCCTTGCGGGTGTGAAGCCGGCATGTAACGACTGCAGATGCCTACGCAATCACCACCAGCGACTATTTCCATCCCATCATAAACTAATAATACCTGGAGTGTACAGCGGGAAAACTGGGAAAAACTGCTATTTTACGTAATAATTATTCCACTTTAACTGCAAGTCTAGAATAAGTTCATGGTATTACATCAAGAAGCATTAATTCTTTCTTCTCTAGGTATTATGAGCTCTTGATCCTATTGTACAAAATCCTCATCACGTTTGACAGATAAATATGGCATGTTTTTTGTTTCGTAATTAGATTTTTTGTTTTATGGTTGATTTTATCAGATATAACATTCGATTTATCACATATAACATTTGATTTATTGCATATAACATTTGATTTATCGCATATTATATTTGATTATTTAATCATATGTTATATGCAATAAATCGACAATAATTCCCTGCCAAAAGTATAATTGCATCATTTGAAACCATGCCTGTTAATTTGATTGTATTAGGTATTTACTGTTTTAAATGTTTACATTATTTGATTTTATATCAGAAAAGATAATCAAACCATTCGATCCTGGCATCAAACCATTCGGTTTTGGAATCAAACCATTCAATTATGGAATTGAATCGTTCGATTTTGGAATCGAATCATTCGATCTGCGAATCGAACCATTCGATCCTGTATTATGTAGATCCCTCCTGCACACACTGCATTGAACCATGCGACTCTGAATCGCATTATTCGATCCGTGAATCGACGCATTCAATTTATAATTTCATTTACAATTTCATTTTATAATAGTTTTGGGATCAAACCATTCAATTATGGAATACAATCGTTCGATTTTGGAATCGAATCATTCGATCTGCGAATCGAACAATTCGATCCTGTATTATGTAGATCCCTCCTGCACGCACCGCATCGAACCATGCGACTCTGAATCGCATTATTCGATCCGTGAATCAAAGCATTCGATCCGTGAATCGAAGCATTCGATCCGTGAATCGAAGCATTCGATCCGTGAATTGAAGCTTTCGATCCAGTCAATCAAGCCATTTGATTCGCGTGATTAAATAATGCGATCTGCTAATATGAATGTCTTCGATGGAAATCGAATATAAAGGAAAAATATCAAAGGTAACATTTAAACATGCATATGTGATTTTAGCCCATATATACATCAAACAAAACATTAAACGAATCGAACGATTAACAAAATCGAATTATGAAACAAAAAACGTCATATAGTACCCATCGCCATGAGGCATCCTGCATCTGTAGGCTGGGATTCTCTTTTAACCAGAACTTATTTACTCCTGCTTCAAATCGCCTCGAAATCTTTTTGTGCCTATACACGTGTTATCAGACTTTGTTTTAACAAATTTTGTTTTGTTTGCTAGTGGCCTTACCGATACGATTGTGTTATCATCAGGAAAAGCGCCACAGTAAGAGTTACAGTAAGCGTTCAGCTTTGTGACACATCCGCCTGTGGGGCTGTTCCCCGAATTCACACTCATGTGTTAACCATACAGTTCGTGCACAATACAAACAGATATAGTATAATATACTGAGTACATACGCCCAGTATTACCACCCACCTACAGTATATACCACCCCTAACGTTTGCTGGCAACTGTTGAGAAAATATCAAAAATTCGCCGGAGGTGTACGACATGTATAAAATATCAACGAGAGATAAGCGGGTGCGTGTGTAAATACGACGGCTGAGTGCGGTGAAACGAGCGGCAACCGGACGTGTATGCTGTGTACCCGGATGTTTCGAACCGGAATCAGAAGAAGTACAAATATATTGTTGGAGAGCTCGGGATCTAGTGTGCGAAGCTCACACAACTGTAAACCTAATTTACAATATTATAAGTATAAAGATAAAGCGAGATATTCAAATAATTTGCAGCTTTTTCGTTTATTATTAATCTTACTTTCATATATGTCTGACATACTTTTTTTAATGTTAATGTTCTACACACAAGCAGACACCAACATTTCCGTGCTGCACGTCCTTCCCTTTTCCTTTTTTACTAGCTTTTTTATTATTTAACGATACAACCAATAGATATAGCCGACACAAGTGTTTCCCTTTTCTTCATTCTCTTCGTTCTCTTCTATTCTTCATTATTAGTATATATATATACGGTGTTGGAGATATTTATTATGCGTTTAACAATAATTTATGCAATTACAATATTTATTATTCAACAATTTATTAATGTTAATAGAATTACAGTTATACCAATTACCAAATAATTATGTACAATTATTTCAATAATGTTAATTGATATGTAATGTAAACTTCAATAGCTGCCGTGGTGCAAAAAAGTTGCACACAAAAATTCCTAAATTAACAAAAAAACATTATTTTTAAACGTCACCATTGTGATATAATATAGAAACCTCACGTATGCAAGGTTCACCGATATCCAATGTATACACGCCACTTATCTAACATACGAAATAACACGCACGGCAGTTTCGTCTATTTGTGAATCTTGTAGATAAACGAAAGTGCACATTTAGCCGAAAGACTTTGTCATTATTTGGACAACATTCAAGTAAAATCCTCCAACTGGACGGATATCGAGCAAACAATTTGACCACCTGCCAGCCAACCAGATCTGCGTGTAGAGAATACATGTCTTTACATTGCTCAGACCGATGATGAGGCGAAAGTTAACTTCATAGGTGTGTTCTTATGATCCAGCCTCGGTAACCTTACGATAACCTGTCTGATAACATGCGAATGTTTAATCTCCCCCTCTCCTCCGTCTCTCTCTCACACACACACACACTCTCTCTCTCTCTCTCTCTCTCTCTCTCTCTCTCTCTCTTCTCTCTCTCTCTCTCTCTCTCACTCTCTCTCGTTAGGTCTGTTTCTTTCTCCTTCTCTCTCTCTGTCCCTGTCTCTCTGTCTCACTCTCTCTCTCTATCTATCTCTCTCTCCAATAGCCAACCATAACGTATACCTTGCATATAGCATACGCTCGCACACGCTTCCCCTTTTTTCTCTCTCGTCCTGTCTTTCACCCCTCTAAGTGTTCGTGCTTCTCCTCCCCCAACATTTCCCCTTTTGTCTCTCTCTCTCTCTCTCTCTCTCTCTCTCTCTCTCTCTCTCTCTCTCTCTCTCTCTCTCTCTCTCTCTCTCTCTCTCTCTCTCTCACTCTCTCTCTCTCGTTAGGTCTGTTTCTCTCTCCTTCTCTCTCTCTCTCTGTCTCTGTCTCGCTGTCTCACTCTCTTTCTCTTTATCTATCTCTCTCTCCAATAGCCAACCATAAGTCCATAACTTATACCTTGCATATAGAATTTCCTAATGGCTCTATACACGCCTCTACAACGCCGTAGCAGCCATGCAGTGATAATTGAGAAGAAGTGATGACACCCGGGGTCGTGACAGGTCACATCGCCCCCCCCCCCCACACACACACATGCACGCACGCACGCACGCACACATCGCAGGCAGCGTACTACGCGCTAACTTACGGTGGCCTACGTCGTCCGTCGCGCGACGTGAGTAGGAAGGCAGCAGATCTTCGAAATAATTATAACTTTCATTTTACGTCTATCACGTGTTGCACGAGCGCGTGCGATTCTCTTGGCGATGTTGGCGTCACGCTATCAGACTATGACGTCATACCAACAAATGATCCGACGTCATACCGCACATGTTCTGACGTCATACCGCCAATGTTCTGACGTCATACCGCTAATGTTCTGACGCATACCGCCAATGTTCTGACGTCATACCGCCAATGTTTTGACGTCATACCTTAAGTGTTCTGATGTCATACCGCCAATGTTCTAACGTCATACCGCCAATGTTCTGACGTCATGCCGCCCATCCTCTGACGTCATACCGCCAATGTTTTGACGTCATACCGCCGATGTTCTGACGTCATGTCGGCGTGATCCCCGCGATATCGTCGTTCGGAGTCGGTGACGTTGTGCAGGCGCTTCGTCTTCTCCCACAGCTTCGTCATCAGCTTGTCTTTGTCGTTCGTCAGCACGGCGAACCCGGGCAGCGGTCCCGCCGCGTCAGGCCGCGCCAGCCAGCGCAGCGACGCGCCGTCAAACGCCGAGAAGTTGCCGCCGACGCCGTACAGGTGGATGGCGAGCGCCTGCCGCAGGATGCCCGTGATCCAGGCGTCGTCGATCCACAGGTAGTCGCGCGTCGCTGCGTAGTCGGCGAGCCGACGGGCGGCGGCCGGCGTGTAGGCGATGACGGGACCGAGGCAGTAGGGCGGGTAGTTGGTGCCGTTGAGCATCGCCTCGTTCACATACCACTTGTTCTTGCGGTCGCGATGAATGCGCGACGCCCATATCTTGCAGGCGATCACGTTGTCGTCGGCGACGACGGCCGGGTTGCGCAGCCAGCCGACGAGCCAACCGACGGCGTTGTACGGTTCCAGGAAGACGTCGTCGTCGAGTTTGAGGATGACGTCGGCGCATGCGCAGTAGCGCGCCGCCCAGCGCAGCGCGAGCACGTGCTTGTAGCTGACGTTGTGGTAGTCGTCGATGAAGGCGGCCTGCACGATGTCGCCATGCACGTCGCTCTCTCTGCGTACGCGCGCCTGCGTCGCCGCGTCGGCTGATGAGCCGAGCACGAAGAGCAGGCGCAGACGACGCGAGCCGACGCATCTGACGCTGCCCCACGTCCGACGCACGGCGTTGCGTCGCGCGGCGTACTTGTCTCCGACGCTGCCGCTGTGCACGAGCACGAGAGCGAAAACATCGTCATCGTCGCTGCAGCCGTCGTCATCGTCGCCGTCGTCATCGCACACTCTGTTGTTGATGATCAGTTTGATTTCGCGTATGTCGATGACGTCGCGGATCACGTCGTCATCGTCGCTCGCACCGTTCACTGACGACGTCACTACGTTGCGTCGCGTCGTGACCTCGTTGCGTCGCGTCGTGTGTTCTGATGATAGAGCCTTGCCTTCCACGGTTATTCGATTATAATCCGGCTTCCCCGGCGAAGGCGGTGGCGCCCTCGTGCGTTGCTTGTCCGTAAATCCGTAGCTGATGAAGAGATGAGCGGTGAAAAAGGCGGCGGCGATGATGACGACAATAAACATCGATCTCCGACGCGTCGCCGACGCATTCGTCGTTTTCTCGCCGACAGGTAGCGCTTTCATCGTCATCCCTGGCGACTAGATTTTTCGGGGATGCTGAAGCCGGTTATCAGTCTCCTGCGCGCGGTACATCACCATGATAACCGAGTGTCGTCCGAGTTCGTCAGTGACGTCACGTCGTAATGTCGATGGGAGCGTGCATGCACTCGGTTCTCAGTGTGGTGACGATGTGTCCTGACAGGCGTGCGTGCGCGTGTGTGCGTGCGTGCACGCGTAGATACCACGCGCGCTGCACAGCCGCCCGACTGTCGCCGCTCTCAGCTATCGTCATCGTCGCCATCACCTATCGTCATCGTCGTAGCGACACGCGTCGACCGTCAGTGAAGGCTGCGCTTCTATTCCTCTTCGTTGCTGCTGTTGTTACTGCTGCTACTGCTGCTGCTACTGTTGCTGTTGTTGTTGCTGCTACTGCTGCTACTACTGCTGCTACTGCTGCTGCTACTGCTGCTGCTGCTGCTACTACTGCTGCTACTGCTGCTGCTGTTGTTGTTGTTGCTGCTACTGCTGCTGCTGCTGCCGCCGCTATGGCTGCTGCTGTTGTTGTTGTTGTCGTTGCTACTGCTGCTACTCACATCTGTGTGACCGCCATGCCTGAGTGGCATGGACTGGCTGTGCGAGGCGCTGCGTGAGTATAGCGCATTGCCAGCGGTGCACGCTCGTGGACGTCATACGAACCCCGGGGCAGGAACAAAGTTCGTGTTTACTATCTATGATATACGATGCGAACGTGAGTGCGTGGCAGCGTTTGTGTGCGCGCGTACGTCAGTGCGTGTGGGTGCGTGCGTGCGTGCGTGTGTGCGTGCATATGTGTGTGCGTGCGTGCGTGCGTGCGTGCGTGTGTGCGCGTTTATAGCGGACATCCATGCCCGCGTGCATGATGTACTGCTATACTTACAGATGTATTCTAACCCTTGCTGATCGCGGTACTGTTCGTAGCAGCTGGACTGCAATGAAAATCAGCGTATAAGCACCTAGTCCGAACCGACGCAGACCCCAGTAATGAAGTTAAACCCGCACCCTCAGATTAGCAAAACGGAGTTATAATGTCTGCGTGCGGACAAATAAGCCCCTAGTCATTAACAACCTGTCAGGCTAAGATTTTCTACTCTCTATTTAGACCCTCTTGACATGAGAACCTGTTTTAGCCTAAACATTTTGTAAACAGGTTCTAATTTGATAGTTCAGTGTAGTAACGTACAAAAATATACGAAAATACAGTGAAATAAAAATACAGTGCAGTTTAACTGCATACATTATGAAATGGAGCCTGGTACCATACGGTTATGACTCAGCTAGGAACCTGGCCAGGCATTATTCATGTGCTTTTTAACACAATCTATAGTTTTCTTTTGTTGATGTTTATTAGGTATAAAGGGCATAAAAAGAAATAAGATAACCTAGAATAGGGTTTGTATTTGTCTATAGCTAGATTGCAGTCATTTAGATATAATTATATGCATATTTTATATAAACAATGGACCGCACCAATATTCTACCAGCAACAAGCACTTTTTTTCTTAAGAAAATAAGAACATTTTTAAGAAACGAAATGGTCTCATTTCTCAGTTTATTACACCGATTATATAAGAACCATTTTAGGCTAGCTTGGATAAGTGCAGGTTCTTATACGCGGGTTTATGCTCACTAGCGGATTAAGGGCGGGGCAACCGGGGCACGTGCCCCGGGCCCCCACATTTGGGGCCCCCCACATTTAGAGTATCCTAAAATTTACAAAACTGTCGTAATTGTGATCCACAAAATTCTTAGCATGTAACGTTGAAGTGATGCGTTTCCCATGCTGTTTCTCTGGCTGAATTTTGCTGTTCAGCAGGACACTTTCCCTAATACCGAAATTGCTCTGAGAATCTATCTTTCATTGATGGTCTCGAATTGTAGCAGTGAAAGGTCATTTTTTAAACTCAAGTTGATTCAAAATCACATGAGAACCACGATGAGCCAACAGAGACTGGTAAACCTTAGTATTCTCGCTATCGAATATGACATTTTAAATTTGTTGAAACACGATGAAATACTCTCTGAATTTGCAAGAATGAAAGTGCAGAAAAAATACAGACTATAGGGCCCCACACAATTGCGTGCCCCGGGCCTCCCACACGCTTAGTCCGGCCCTGTTTATGCTGTACGAGAAGACAAAATCCCAGCAGAGCTGCTAAGGGGCTATACCAGCTGCAACCAGATGCTGCCCCAGCCTATATCCACGATGACTGTAGTTAATATGTGTCCAGGTTGTAGTCAGAATCCCCATTAGTACCATCACCATGGTCAGAATCACCATTGTCACCATCACCATGGTCAGAATCACCATGGTCAGAATCACCATTGTCACCATCACCATGGTCAGAATCACCATGGTCAGAATCACCATGGTCAGAATCACCATTGTCACCATCACCATGGTCACCATCACCATGGTCAGAATCACCATTGTCACCATCACCATAGTCACCATCACCATGGTCAGAATCACCATTGTCACCATTACCATGGTCACCATCACAATGGTCAGAATCACCATGGTCAGAATCACCATGGTCCGAATCACCATGGTCAGAATCACCATGGTCAGAATCATCATGGTCACCATTACCATTGTCACCATCGCCATGGTCAGAATCACTATGGTCACCATCACCATGGTCACCATCACCATTGTCACCATCACCATGGTCAGAATCACCATGGTCACCATCACCATGGTCAGAATCACCATTGTCACCATCACCATGGTCACCATCACCATGGTCACCATCGCCATGGTCAGAATCACCATTGTCACCATCACCATGGTCAGAATCTTTTTTATTTATGTTATTTATTTATTTAGGCAATTATCCATCATATACAATACATAGCATACTTTTATAATAAAATTCTGAATTCATAAAATTGGATAACTACCAAGGATATATACACAAAAAGCATGACTAGCACTCTTATTTACATTGTGGTCTTTGTTTTGCTATGCCTTGAATCTAACAATTACAATACTATCAGCACTAACTATTGAAATATACAAATTTGTAGTTTTAACCGGTCATACAATGGTACATTCTCATGAGACGATACAAACTTTTCTTATGCCTAATTTCATCCGAATTCTTTTAGGGAAAATCATGCTCCTCTGCCTCTAATGTTTCTACCTTTTCCATCAGACATTTCTTAACACGTACTAATACGTGTAAAATACTTATAACTGTACTAATACTTAACACGTTACGAACAGAATTTGTCCTAACTTGCTGTGGTAGAGATTTCCATGAGTAGAGATAGAATATGAGTAGATATGAGTAATATAGTTATCGTAAGTCAAAAATGGCGTAACATTTGCTCGGCGCTTCACTTTAAAGGTTATGATATTATATATTTATGATGTCATAACGACGTATGATGTTTCTGACCACGTGGCCATTACAGTTGCTCTTAGAGTTTTCTCCTGCATGAAAATGCGAAGCACCAGCCCAACCAGTAGGTAGCGCTGCATGCCAGCAAGTGCTAATGGGGCTTGTGAATGTGAGTAACGTCTAGTATTTATGAGTTCACTGTTATACATCCATATCAACAATATTAGCGTGCCTATTAAACACAATGTTGACAATGTGTACGTATTAATTATTTTCCCCAGTAGATAGCGGGACGACGTCATGTTTGATTGCAATTATGAAAACACATCTGTATTAGAAAATAACAGATTAATTGACAGATTTGGGAAAACATTATTAATTTATTCCAAGATGTTTTATAAAAAACATTAATTAATTATTTGACTATTCTGGCATTGTTGGCATTGATGTGACTATTGAATTTAACCACTATTGATGTATTAAAGTTGCCCTACATACATCGATTATCATAAAGTCATATATAGCGTTAGGAACACACCGATGTGATTATTATATAAACGGATAACTCTATATTAACCGTGGTAACAGCTTAATTAATGTGGCTATATTTTACTTTAGTTGACATATGAAGTCTGAGATACGTATACTGTTGAATCTATACCTACTGCCGCACTGTTAGGGAAGTTTGTAACCAACTATACCGACAAGCACGTGCCAAACGCATATCGTACAAATAAGAAACACGGCCAAGTTGTGATACTAGTAAGATGCACTATCAAATCACACTAATATGACACCTACTACTACATCCCTGACATCACTATACGATACATAAGCCTACAGCGGCTACTATGGAAAGATATGAGTAAAACATTTCAATTTGATCGCGTCGGGTACGCGTACAACCGACAGATATAATGTGGGATACAACTCCCAATGCTACAGTGCTTCTGGTAAACGTACAAAGGACAGATATATGTGGAATATAACTCTTAACCCTACAGTGCTACGGGTACGCGTACAAAGGACAGATACACGTGGTGGATAACTCCCAATAATGCTACTGTGCTATGCTGGTGTTTCACTGCGAGAGGTTTCCAGCAGCCACGCGCTGACTAAGCGACGGGTGCGAAGTGGAGAGGGTAGGTGATCATGTGGCCGTTGTCGTACCCGTACAGAACCCTCTCGCGCGCGTTGTACGACAGCTGGCCGAGCAGCCCGTACTTGACGTGTATCGGAATGGAGGCGAACACCTCTCGGCTCGTGTTCGTGTCGTACGCATAGAAGATGCTGCCATCTGGCGTTGTAACGAAGCAGGGTTTCTACGTTATGATTATAGTGTTGTTAACTACGTTATGTTTCGCCAAAAGACATAGATAACTGATGCATAGACAAGAGAAAGCCAGTTGTTACCATGATTTGCAGTTTACTGACGGTTTGGATACAATTACAGCGGTTGTCGCGGTCGTGCCTGGTTGAGTTCCTTCCGTCCATCTCCTCCTCATCCGACCCTTACGTTCGGACGAGGAGCAGCCGTCCTGTTGTCGCAGCAGCAGCGGCTGCTGCAGCAGCAACATCAGGCGTCGGGAGATTCCCCGACTCTCCCCGGCGCTCGGCTTATATACGCCAGCCACGACCGCGTAACCTACATGAGTCCCGCGTGCGTCACGCGTGCGTCATCTATAATCCTATAATCCCGCAATATCACATCAAAGGGAGGGCTTCTTTGAAGTGCCGCGCGCGAAGTGATAACTAATCGAGCTGTGAAGTGCCGCGCGAGAAGCGCGGATTAACCAGCTCAATTTCGGCTCTATTACTCCATTACTTTGACCCGCGCACTCCCGCTTTCTCGAGAGAGAGGATTCATCTCTCGATTGCTTACAGACACGCCCCCCACTTAGAGCTCTATTGAACTTCTGAGCGAGGAGCGCGGGAGATACGCGGACCTAAACCAATTTAATCACGCACCGCTACACTTCAAACGCTGCCAGGACATCGATACTAGCACCTAAGTGTCAGCATCGATCCTGTAGCAATCTCGTTAATTAAATTTAATTAACACTAATAAATGAAATAAAATTATTAAAAAAAATTTTTTCATTAAAATATTTAATTGTTGTAAATCAATCATGCAAATATTTCCGTTAATTAGAAAACAATAGTTAAATGGATAAAGATAGAAAAATACAGAAAACAAAAAAATAATTAAAAACCAAACCGGATTCGAACCAACGACCTTTCAGAAGTAACGACGGTGTTCTATCCACCACGCCACACAGGATATATAAGAAACAGTACATGACATATGCTAAATAAGCAAAGCAGCTTGTTTTTAAACCAATCAGGAGGCAGGATGAACCAATCAGAACCAATCAGAAGGCGCTAAATTCTTCGCTATGTTATGTCGACTGGGAAAAAAAAACTCGCCGCCCGGACGCAGACGCACTCTGTGTTGTCACGGATATGTGACTGAAGATAAAGCAATATATAAAAATATAAATTCGATGTTCTAATTATACTAGTTAATGGATCTTAAAGCTAATCAATAGTTGCGGACGAAATTTTCTTTATTTCCTGACACGAGCTCTCGTAGCAACAAACCGGATATCTTAATGTAATCATTTCGCTACGCCGACAATAGAAATAATTATTAATACGCCGAGAAAAGATAATCAGTTTACGTGTGCTTACTTTAGATGCGGCCCCACTAAGCAACAACGCTGCGATGATCATGAAGCAGAGAGACGGAACATGCAACGTCATCCCTTGACTCGTCATCATCGCGTGCGGGAGTCTAGATCTTGCACTTCTGCGACGCAACCCCGACACGACGCCACTGACACTATATACTAGGTTGCCCCCGCGTATTTATCGTTTCTTATGTATACGACGCGCTTATAGTAAGGATATATTATTACGTATTGGATGCGCGCAGCACCATGGCTGAGGCTGCTAGACGGCAGTCCCAGGCGATCTATAAATCACGTGTGTTTGTTGCGCAGACGATGATGCATCACACGTCAGAGTAAGCACCGAGTGCTATGCGCGTACCATCGTTCCCAAGACCCACGCGCCCTAGTCCGATCATGCGGCCCCGGTAGTTGCGAGCAGCGCACAGCGCGCGGTGAAGCCGCGCCCCCACAGCGAATACGCCGCCCCCTTATTGTCCTCTTAAGACAGATTAACCTGAATCGCTTTAAAAACGAACTCCGCGAAAACTGGGCGGAATCCAACCGACATTTCGCGATCGACGGCTAGAGGCCTTCTGTATCTGCGTGTACGTGCGTGTACCCGCGTGTACGTGCGTGTACCCGCGTGTACGTGCGTGTACCCGCGTGTTAGTGCGTGTACCCGCGTGTACGTGCGTGTACGTGCGTGTACGTGCGTGTACGTGCGTTTATCTCCGTGTACCCGCGTGTACGTGCGTGTACCTCTTCTGTGCGTGCCTGCCTGAGCAGCCATTGTTTACAAAATTGCCTAGCTTCGCCTCGTTTTCGTGCGATGACCCCAGGTCATGAATAATATTTGAGACTGGTGTATTATTCTGATATTCAACCACCTTCACTCACCTGAGGCGTGTTCAGGAGACCGAACGCTCGCGAGCGCTCGCCTTCTGAACGACACTGCGCGAGCGAGCGCGAGCGAGCGCTTGCGCGCAAGTTTGAAAGGCTGTTCGCTCAGGGTTTGTCTATATTCAGGCCGGTACAGGAGATAATTTGCATATTTTGTCACGTGGTTTGTGTTATAACCAATCAGATGTAATCGCGGTGGAGAAGGAGGGGAGAAGCTGGTGGAGAAGGAGGAGGGGGAGAAGGGAGAAGGTGGTGGAGTCTTCCAGATTAGCTAACTGCAAATTCAATTCAATTAAATAAATTTCCACCTGTTCACAAATGAAATCGCAATGCTGCAGACGGTGCGGTATTTAGCTAGCACGGCATATACACGTAGGAGCAAAGTCTTGTGTTAAAGTGATTACGTCACCGTAAATAGTAAAAGTAAAAAAAATTATGTCCACTTTTTCATAAAATGTAAGTGATTCTGTTAATTTTTTATGGTCAAATTGCTGCATTATACTTCTTATTTTGCTATTCCGTTTCAATGTGAACAAACACTCGTGACTCATACATAACCCATAGCAAGCATTTAATGTCACGATCATTATATAAAATCGCCCTGATTTTTAGGATTTTTAACTAGTTGACAAACAATCTCATCAGGTAAGAATTTGAAGATACATTTAGTGCCGTTAGTACTTACTTTTCATGTAAAAAAAATCAACAAAAATTTTACTATTATAAACCATACGTGAAAATAGAAAATACGTGACGTAGACAATTTAATAATCATCTACCAACCTGCTCCTTCACATAGTCACGACTGGATTCCGCAAGCTCCATACTCTCAATGATTGCAGATAAATTTCTTAGTTTCGCACCCAATATCTGCAGCATAAAAATTTACATTACCGGTTATCTGAAATATAAATATACTTCTCACAAGTGACATGCGTCTGTAGAAGTTTTTCATACATTGAATCGTATCAGAACTCATTCACGTGAACCTAACCAACAGTTTATAATCATAGTTGCAATTCTATAAAACGTCGGATAAATTCACTACTCCTCTTCATCGCATCGTCGGCATTACCTGTATAGATGAATGCAGGCCTATATACCTGGCAGATATTACGATAATGTAGGCTTTATATCGCTCGGCCGTGACGTTATCACATCGGCGATAAAATTAATATTATATACACTCTGCCTTATTATATCAAACAATGTTAGTGTTGTGTAGAATCGCTACAAGGCAGATGATCGCGTTTACAACCATTATGCACAACGTCTGCCGGTATTTTGCCTGGAATAATCATTTATCAGATGGTGTTCTGGTTCAGGCGCGACCGATTCAAATATATCGGTTGCTATAGCAATCTGCAATAAACAGGTGAGGTAAGACGTCGGCACGGAAATGTCCGAGTTTTCACGAGTGAGACGCGACAGTGACAAGTGTGATTGATATACTGCCAGGTGTATCGATACCGTGGAAACAGTAATAAATAGGTGTTACACTTCAGCATTTCTGATACCGCTGCGACCTCCGACGAGCAAGACGAGTAAGAATATTGATAGGGCGGTGACCTTTTCCTTCGAAGAATCTCCGCTCGAAAATGTAAGCTCCAGATTTTCCATAATCTCGGATATATTTCGTACTTTCGCATCCAGTATCTGCAGCAGTGAAACACAGCCAGTGAAAATTCGCTGCTAGCAATGATCACATTATAACTTACCTATGTAAACATGAGAGACTTATGTACAGATCAATATAACATATAAATTATTATATGGCGAGATTCAAAAGTCAAAATGTCTCCAGGGGCCCTGCGCATGTTTTTATTACGAAGGGGAAACTGCTTGTACCTGAGCTAGTAATAGCAGGGATTAATAATGACAAATTTGTCATTATTTAAACCCTTATATATATATCAAGAGTGCATAATAGAGATGCAGAGATGATGGAGATCTCTATTATGCACTCTTGATATATATATTATATATATATATATATATATATATATATCAGGAGTAGATAATCCGTGAATATCCTATTATTCCCTATTTCTATAAGTTCCCTATATTTCCTATAAGGGAATAGGGAATTCCCTATTCCCTATAAGTTCCCTATATTTTTCCTATAAGGGAATAGGGAATTCCCTATTCCCTATAAGTTCCCTATTATCTACTCCTGATATGTATATATATATATATATAGATGTTATTATATATAAATGGTTAAAAAATATACGAACGCATACACACGCACGCACGCACGCACGCACGCACGCACGGACACACACACACGTGTACACACACACGCACGTACGCACGCACGCACGCACGTTCGCACGCACGCACGCACGCACGCACGCACACACACACACACACACACACACACACACACACACACACACACACTTACATACACATGTACACACACTGGCCTTACATGCCACAAGGTTTGTCTCCGTGTCGTTCTGTACTAGAGTTGGTGGCAATTTTCGATAGCTGATCGATTTCCTCATTGATCTTCGCCAGATCTCGCCCGCGAATGACGAAAGCCTCGTGTCGTCTGCATCACTTCGTATTTCTCGCCTCAGTCGATTGAAACGCTCCACGAACTGACCGTTCACTCCATGCATCAGCTCACCCACGTCCCTGCTCACGTTGGAACCTGAAACAAACAAATAAATAAATAAATGAATAAAAAATTAAATAAATTAATAATTATATATATATATATATATTATATATATTAATATATATATATATTATATGAATGTGTGTGCATGCGTCGTGCGTGCGCTCCGTGGGTGTGCGTGTGCCTTTGTATGTTCGTACGTGCGTGCGTGCTTGTATGTGCGTACGTGCGTGCGTCCGTGCATGCGTACGTGCGTGTGTGCGCGTTTGTATGTGCATACGTGCGTGCGTTTGTATGTGCGTACGTGCGTGCGTCCGTGCATGCGTACGTGCGTGTGTGCGCGTTTGTATGTGCATACGTGCGTGCGTTTGTATGTGCGTACGTGCGTGCGTGCGTGTGTGCTTGCTTGGGTGATTCTCAACTTGAAGTCAACCATAATCTATACTTGAACACTATACTAGCTATGTAGTCGTTGCGATGCTCACGCTACGCAAACGTTTGAGACGATGCACATGTAATAAATTATGCACGCACGCACGCACGCCCGGGCTCTGATGTGCACAATCTAGTTACGACATACTATGTTACTAACAGTTACACACAGTTCGACATAGAATATAATGCTATAATACTAATACATAATACTATCAGGAGTGAATAATAATACATTATATTAATTAATCTATTATATTAATTATATTATTATCTTAATTATCTTAATTAATCTATTATTATTCACTGCTGATACTATATACCCTCTGGCCGAGAAGTTTGAGCTGCTGGAATTGGCTGTCCGCGGAGCAGAGCCCGGGAGATGGCGCTGCGATGCGACACACGCACTGTCCTGCCTCACTGACCGCCTCCACGCGATAATTGTCATCCAACATGTCAAGGTCGTCATCAGACACCGTGGCGACAGCAGCCTGTAACGGCAAGGTCGTCACCAGACACCGTGGCGACAGCAGCCTGTAACGGCAAGGTCGTGATCAGACACCGTGGCGACAGCAGCCTGTAACGGCATTGTCACGGCAAGAGGGCGCTGGCGGTTGGTGTATCATTATAGGTTCAATATATTACGGAAATGCGTATACAATTATAAATGACAATATATAGTACGGAAATTATATCCTGCATATAACTGTACTATAATAATTATGCAATAACTATGCCATGCAGTAATAATTATATTTATATGCACGGAAATCATATAATGCAATAATGCAGAAATTTATGAACGGGTAGATCACGAATTATTTTACTTAAACAACTAGACGATGTCTATATGCATACACACACGCACGCACTCAAGCACGCACGGACACACGCACGCACTCACGCACGCACGCGCACGCACTCTGTGTTGTCACGGATATGTGACTGAAGATAAAGCAATATAATATACTAGCGCGGGATACCCGGCGTTGCCCGGGGAAATCAGTGGCGTTACTCAGTTGGTGACCGCTTGGTTAAAAGGAAAATACCCAAAAAAGTCTAACTATCTATCTATCCATGCATCCATGCATCCATTCATCCCATCCCATCGCACCGCATCCCATCCCATCCCATCTCATCCCATCTCATGCCATCCCATGACATGCCATGCCATGCCATGCCATCGCCATGCCATCCCAAACAGTAAAAAATAATAAGAAATCAAAATATAAGACATTAAATATATAAATAAAAATTAAAAAATAAGAAATTAAAAATAATACATACTAAAGAGGTAGGTAAAGAAAAAAAAGGAAAAAAGGGGAAAATAAGTTCCCCAGCTGGGACTCGAACCAGGAATCCCGGATGTTCTAGCGATTAGGCCACTACACCGTTAAGGGTATACCCATATGGATTCACACGTACGTGATGTTAATCTGTACGCATTGCCATCTATTGATGAATATCTTTAGTTTTCCTTTAGGCTGCGGAGTTCTCTAGTTATGCGAGTACGAACTAATTCGGCTGAACAACTTTATATATAGATAAATATAAATTCGATGTTCTAATTATACTAGTTAATGGATTTTAAAGCGAATCAATAGTTGCGGACGAAATTTTCTTTCTTTCCTGACACGAGCTCTCGTAGCAACAAACCGGATATCTTAATCATGTTAATGTAATCATTTCGCTATACGCCGACAATAGAAATAATTATTAATACGCCGAGAAAAGATAATCAGTTTACGTGTGCTTACTTTAGATGCGGCCCCACTAAGCAACCACGCTGCGATGATCATGGAAGCAGAGAGACGAACATGCAACGTCACCCTTGACTCGTCATCATCGCGTGCGGGAGTCTAGATCTTGCACTTCTGCGACGGAACCCCGACACGACGCCACTGACGCTATATACTAGGTTGCCACCGCGTATTTATATATATACGTGTGATTATGCAGACGTCAGCATCTTGCATGTCTCCGCGATGCAAAATAATCTCGCGTCTCTCAATGTGATTGAGCACCGATGCTATGCGCGTACCATCGTTCCCACGACCCACGCGCCCTAGATGCTTTTTGCTTTTCTCAGCATCGCTACATCGTTAGCGGAGGCCTGGACCGGTCTTTACGGCGTACGGATTCACTGCCACTACAGCTCATAGGTCTATGTCCCCCAGGGTACTGCCGGAACGTACCTGGGTACGGTCCGGTATACCGGCCGGAACGTACCCTGGTAACTATTTGATATGGTTAGGGTTAGGGTTAGGGTTAGGGTTAGGGTTACAGTTAGGGTTAGGATTAGGGTTAGGGTTAGGGTTAGGATTAAGGTTAAGGTTAGGGTTAGGAGTAGGCGTAGGCGACTCCCCAGACTCGTTTAGTGGAGTAGGCGAGGTACGGTCGCGCATATTAGATAGTGTAGCAGGGTACGTTCCGGTATACCGGACCGTACCCAGGTACGTTCCGCAGTACCCCGGGCGGACATAGACCCTCTCAGCGCCACTACACGTACTATCCAACTACGGCTCATAGGGTCTATGTCCCCCGGGGTACTGCCGGGAACGTACCCTGGGTACGGTCCGGTATACCGGAACGTACCCTGGTACTATCTAATATGCCGAACCGTACCTCGCCTACTCACTAACGAGTCTAGGGAGTCGCCTACGCTACTCCCTAACCGAACCCGAAACCCTAACCCTAATCCTAACCCTAACCCTAATCCTAACTCTAACCATATCAAATAGTGACCAGGGTACGTTCCGGTATACCGGACCGTACCCAGGTTATGTTCCGTCAGTACCCTGGGGGACATAGACCCTATGAGCCCAACTACGTGTACATGTAAACTATGTAACAGTAATTATATTGTATTATAATTATAAATATTATACGAATATAAATATACGAATATTATAATAATAAATATAAATCGAGTTGCGAAACTGTAGCGCGCTTACCTAGACTGGTACCCGTTCGCTACACGACGTTAGTGTAGCGTGTGGAACTGTCGACCGGGTACCAGTCTATATTATACCTAGCCAGGCTAAGCCTCGATTCTCGTGTGAACGCTCCATGTTGTCTTAGCACGGTATTTCAGCCGAATTCAGCGCCAGATAAGTACGGAACTAGCGAGGCCGTGTATATCGTGTGAACGCAGCTATATTATAAATATGATATAATTACTACATTATATTATATTAAGTACTGGCATTGGCAGCAGCGACAACAGCAGCAGCAACAGCTGTTCATGTGTCCTCGACTACGCGGATGCCTTGTTCTCAGCAGAATCTAATATAATGGTGTTGTACCACAGTAGAGCTCATAGGGTCATAGGGTCATAGGGGGGACATATAGACCCTCTCAGCCTAACTTGCTGTGGTAGAGATTTCCATGAGTAGAGATAGAATAAGAGTAGATATGAGTAATATAGTTATCGTAAGTCAAAAATGGCGTAACCTTTGCTCGGCGCTTCACTTTAAAGGTTATGATATTATATATTTATGATGTCATAACGACGTATGATGTTTCTGACCACGGGGCCATAACAGTTGCCCTTAGAGTTTTCTCCTGCATGGAAATGCGAAGCACCAGCCCAACCAGTATGTGGCGCTGCATGCCAGCAAGTGCTAATGGGGCTTGTGAATGTGAGTAATTACCGTCTAGTATTGCTCATAGGGTCTATGTCCCCCAGGGTACTGCCGGAACGTACCCTGGGTACGGTCCGGTACACCGGAACATACCCTGGTCACTATTTGATATGGTTAGGGTTAGGATTAGGGTTAGGGTTAGAGTTAGGGTTAGGATTAGGCTTAGGGTTCGGGTTAGGGAGTAGGCGTAGGCGACTCCCTAGACTCATTAGTGGAGTAGGGGAGGTACGGTTCGGCATATTAGATAGTACCAGGGTACGTTCCGGCAGTACCCCGGGGGACATAGACCCTCTCAGCTCTAGTATTTATGAGTTCACTGTTATACATCCACATCAACAATATTAGCGTGCCTATTAAACACAATGTTGACAATGTGTACGTATTAATTATTTTCCCCAGTAGATAGCGGGACGACGTCATGTTTGATTGCAATTATGAAAACACATCTGTATTAAAAAATAACAGATTAATTGACAGATTTGGGAAAACATTTATTAATTTATTCCATGATGTTTTATATAAAAGATTAATTAATTATTTGACTATTCTGGCATTGTTGGCATTGATGTGACTATTGTATTTAACCACTATTGATGTATTAAAGTTGCCCTACATACATCGATTATCATAAAGTCATATATAGCGTTAGGAACACACCGATGTGATTATTATATAAACGGATAACTCTATATTAACCGTGGTAACAGCTTAATTAATGTGGCTATATTTTACTTTAGTTGACATATGAAGTCTTAGATACGTATACTGTTGAATCTATACCTACTGCCGCACTGCTAGGGAAGTTTGTAACCAACTATACCGACAAGCACGTGCCAAACACACATCGTACAAATAAGAAACACGGCCAAGTTGTGATACTAGTAAGATGCACTATCAAATCACACTAATATGACACCTACTACTACATCACTGACATCACTATACTATATTTACAGTGGCTACTATGGAAAGATATGAGTAAAACATTTCAATTTGATCGCGTCGGGTACGCGTACAACCGACAGATATAATGTGGGATACAACTCCCAATGCTACAGTGCTTCTGGTAAACGTACAAAGGACAGATATATGTGGGATATAACTCTTAACCCTACAGTGCTACGGGTACGCGTACAAAGGACAGATACACGTGGTGGATAACTCCGCGTAATGCTCATAGGGTCTATGTCCTCCAGGGTACTGCCGGAACGTACCCTGGGCACGGTTCGGTATACCGGAACGTACCCTGGTCACTATTTGATATGAATAGGGTTAGGATTAGGGTTAGGATTAGGGTTAGGGTTAGGGAGTAGGCGTAGGCGACTCCCTAGACTCGTTAGTGGAGTAGGCGAGGTATGGTACGGCATATTAGATAGTACCAGGGTACGTTCCGGTATACCGGACCGTACCCAGGGTACGTTTCGGCAGTACTCCGGGGGACATAGACCCTCTCAGCCCCAGGGCTCGCTACTGTGCTATGCTGGTGTTTCACTGCGGGAGGTTTCCAGCAGCCACGCGCTGACTAAGCGACGGGTGCGAAGTGGAGAGGGTAGGTGATCATGTGGCCGTTGTCGTACCCGTACAGAACCCTCTCGCGCGCGTTGTACGACAGCTGGCCCAGCAGCCCGTACTTGACGTGTATCGGAATGGAGGCGAACACCTCTCGGCTCG